TATAAAAATATAATATACATTTATAGATTTATTAATTAATATAAAGTTGAAACAATAAATTCATAATATGTCCATGATTGAGAAACTAATACCCTATTAACTAATACACTAATAAATACAAAATTTATCACCTATAACTTTACTTTAGCAAGAGCCTTATAAAATATATTTTAAGTTAGAAACGACGCGAAAGAATTAACTCTCGAAAGAGATTGAAAAAGCAGAGAATTTTACGTGGACTCAGCAGCTATCATCATTTCAAGCTTAAACGTCGAAATACTCTGAAGGATGCGGTTTCCATTATCTCGCACAAAGCTGATCCGAAAACAATGTAAGTAGCTAGTATCAGATATCGCATGAGTTCATCTAGTAGCACTTGAAACGATACTTAGGGCCCGAGATCGGCGACGAAGGCCCCTGTTTCCATAACGACGTCAGAAGAAGCCAGCATCCTGCAATAGTATGGTGATTCGTGACGGGAGATTGACTGTGATTTTCCCGGTCTTTCTTTCTCTCTCTCTCTCTCTCTCTCTCTCTCTCTCTCTTTCTCTCTCTCTCTCTCTCTCTCTCTTTCTCTCTCTCTCTCTCTCTCTCTCTTTCTCTCTTCAGATTGAGACGATGAATCGTCCTAGCAGATGCAGCTGCTTTCGCCCTCTGACTCGGAGCCATTCTGCATCGGCGATTGATTCTGCAAGTCGACAGCTGCTTTTGTGTGTTAAGGCATGTTGCATTTTCAACTTGCATTCTTATGCAAACGTAGCAATTTTGTTTTTCTCACTTTCTTTCCTCGGTGTTTCTTAAGAAATTAATTAAATTTTATATGCTTTTTTTAAAAAGAATTAATCAAATCGTGTATCAATATAGATATATTTCGCACGATGCAGTCTGTCTGATTTATTGTGCCAATAGGAGGAGAAAGCGTTTCGAAAAATAAAATACCAAAAAGGCTGCACTTTTTGCAATTTGGCAATATTATTGGTCAGTAAATACATTATTGCACTTGATAAACATTTGATTGGTAGCTTCAAACTTAATCAATGCGTATTGATGTTCCAATAATACAATTCTTATAAACCAAATAAAGTACAATGCAATTCTTAATGATACTATAATAAATAAATTTTTTTCTAATATTATCTACAAATTTCTAAGTATTTATTTCATTATAATGATATTTGTCACTTCCAAATCGATGCTCTCATAATTAATTTTTCTTTAATTTTCCATCCAATCAATAATAATCCTTCACACATAAGAATACAATTCTAATTTGATTGCGTATACCATCGCGTTTTAATTTCTGCTTATCAACAAAGCTAATAAAAGTGACAATCGAAAAGCGTATAAAAGTTCAAAAATGGGACGGAGAATATGTTTTAGAATTACTGACTAATTTGCAATAAATTTTCAAAACAAAATCTTATATAGAAAAAGAATATTACATAAGAACACGGAATAAAATAAAAAATAGATGTAATAAAAAATAGATGTATTATTATGAAGTAATAAAAATTCGATTCAACCTAAAATCCAGCTAAAATTAAATTTTAAATTGGTATTCTGAATTAATTGTGCATAAATGTTATCAATTATAAGCCAAACATAAAAAATAAATATTTTCTTAGATCATTTGATACAAGCCCTATATATATATATATATATAT